AATTTTCGGAAAGTCCCCTTTGAACATGACCCCAAAGGGGATCCTAACTTCGAGAGCTACCCATGTTCTGAAGAGCAGAACTTCACCAATCTTAGCAGGCCACTCGTCTGTTGAACTCCCTCCTTGGCGAGAGGAAGAGATCCGTGCAGGGGCTTGGGAGTTTAGGGTTTCAGCTTTGGTGGGGTTGTGGCTTAGGTTTCCTCGTGGTCTCTGCTGTGCGCAGCTTAATTGTCCTGTTACCGGCCTTGTTGGCGACAACTGCTGCCATGCGCCTTATGCTGCTGGATCATGGCTTACAGCAGCGACTCTGTTCGTGATTGCTCGGCTTGAATATTCAGGAGACTCAGGAGTTATCGATGGCAAGTAGTATAGGCTCATACATGCTTCCGGCATATGACAACTATCTGCGATACCTGATCATTACCGTATGACATACCACCGATACTGACACGACATTCCAAAGCTTGTCTTCCTTCCCTCTGATTTAGAGGGTCTCTGCCTTCAGGTTCCTGAAGAAGCATCGAAGGATTAACCCGCCAGTTCTGAATCCGGGCTGACGCCAACGGCCTACAGAAAGAGCCGCCCCTGAAATGCTCAAATCCAGACGATCAGTCTCCCTCAACCCCCCAAACTGAAGCCCCCAAAATCTTTGGTTCTGAGATCTCAGAGAATAGATCTAGAATCCTAAGCCTTCAGATTCGAATAGCCTATAATCAATACAGGCCCAGAGTCATAAACCCAACCCCCCCCCCCCCGAAAAATCGCGAATCTCAGAGAAACCTGGACCCTAAAGCCCCGAAGAAACGAATGCACTTCGTCCGCAAAGCGTCACTTGAAGGAAGAGTTCTGAGAATTGCTGGTAAAGTTCTTCCTGGGCAGAAACACGGTGAACACTGATGCGAACCTTACGGCCTTACGATTTAGGGTCTTGGGCTCTGACAATATCAGATATCGGGACCCTGATTCGACCGCTAAGTGATGGGATCTTTGAAAAAGGGCGATGCCGGACCACTGTCATATTCTTCCTGGGCCCGAACATGGTCTGTTGCAAGGATTACTCGTCGGTTTCGATGAATTCGAGGAGGTGTTGTTGTTGGCTTTTCCCACTTCGCTGACCCGGTCCCGCTGCAAGGCAACTACCGTGCACAGATTGGAGAGAGGCTGCTAGTTCTGAGGCCAACGGCTCTCCCTGACCTGTTTAGGGATTAAGGTCCTTTGCTTGAATTTGGATATCGGTGCTTGCCTTGAACTCTTGGTTGCTTAAACCCAACATAAAGCTGGTAGCACGCATGATCCAGTAAATCGGTTAAGCAGCCCAGGAGCAGTACTACCGGCTTTAGGCAACGACTAGCAGCCGGCAAGAGGTTGGGCCATGGAATGCTTCGCAGCGGATTTAATATCAACCTAAACCCTAAACCCTTTTTTTGCATCTGGTTTAACCCATAAACCCTGAACCCCAAACCCCTAAACCGCCGTGCATCTGAAGACCGGAGCTTGGCCATCTCAGCTGCCACGCGCTGAAACTCCTCTGGGTTTCTTCTTTAGGGATTAGCGGCGGCTTCTGTTTCAAGTGGCTCTCTACGGCCTTACAAGGTTCGATTTGGTGTGGTACGGTTTCTACAAGGACCTCAGATTAAGGCTTTGTATATGGGTTTTATAAAGCTTTATAAAGTTTACAGCTTTGCTTAGAGGGGATATTTTGACTAGGGCTGATTCGAGGTCCTTACCTTCAGGATGCCAGTATTTAGGGTTGTCGACTGAGGCCCCTTGTTACCCCAAGGGTCTGCGGACCAGATATTATAAGCCCTATATATTACAGTATGGCCTAACAGCCATGCCTTGAAGAACTCAGTTCTACTAATTGCAGCCTGAGCCGTTCAGCCCGAAGCCCCACGGCCCCCCAAAACCGCTCCTTGTCGTGGGCCTTGAGCATGTTGTCCTGTGGGGCAACTGGGGCAGCGGTTTTTGAACTTGGGGTTGAGGGCAAAGGCAAAGGGCTTATTTAGGACTCGAGCTTTCTTTTGGGCATGCTGTCAGCAAGGCCAAGCCGAAAAAAACCCTACATACTTCATCAAGATGAGTGCTCGTGCGCACCTGAACACAAGGTTTCCGGTTGAGGCCTTGGGGACGTCGAACTTTTGAATTTGCACAGGGTTGAGGTTAAATAGGGCTTGGCGAAGCACATTAGAGGATGCGCGGGGCATTCTGACGGCCTTCAGGAACCCAGAAACATGTAAAGACCAAAACCACAAGGTACTCAATTACTTGTGCACGAGTCCCAAATCTGCTGTAATTCTCATTACAACTTATCAAGCGATCCGGTGAACATAGGGAAATGCGAAGAGCCCGATTACATAAAGACCACCACTCGTAACTTCAGGACTCCGATTACAACCCAAAGACTCTCATTAGGGCCAAAAGAAACACATGTTGCCTGTGTACCCCTCTCTCTCTCTATACATATATATATATATATATATGTATAGAGAGACAGAAAAGGAGCGTGTGTGGGTGTCTATAAGTTTTCTCACGGCTTCTTGAGCTCTTGATTCTCAAAACTGTCACCATTGCCGCCTTCGTCATCGTCATCGTCATCACTATCTTCGCCACGTCACCCGGTAAACAGCCACAGCATTAACGGCATCAGCTGCACTGCAACAACCTGGTATCAACGTAAGCCCTCATCTTCATCTTCAGCCCCCTTAAACACTTCTGGTTATCATCATCTTTATCATCATCATCATCCCCATCGCCAGCTGCATCACCATTTCCAAAACCATCACCATCAGATCACATAGGCACACACACACACACATTCTTTCTCTCTCTCCCATTCTCTCACCCATTCTCTATTGGTTTGAATCTCCAGCTCCCTGCCTGCTCACGGAAGGTGCCCAGGTAATGGCTCAGCTTTGCTTCGAACCCCCTGGAGCGACCCGAGAAGGGCAGCGGGGCGGGCCGAGGGGCTCGGGCTATACGGCGTAAGGCCTATATAAGCTTCATGCGGATATCTAGGACGTAGGGCTTATGTTGGATTTAGGGTGTTTTGGATTTCTGCTTAACTAGGGACTAAAATGACAGGGGCACATTGTTTCAAGTATGCATGCACACATACATACGTACATAAATCAAGATATACACACATATACGGGGCCTAGGCGCATTAAGGGAATTGGGTGGTTTTACCGCGTTTCAAGTTTAAGGTTTGCACGAGTTCCAAATGCTAGTAGCCGGGCTCGTGGCTTATCTGCTGCTCCAGTTTGAAAACTGTCTCAAGTTTTTAACCTTTGGGTAAAGTTCGAGTATCTACGATCCGCTCTGGGGCTTGTTGCAGCCAATGCAAAGCAAAGGAATTCTCCCCTCAAACCCAACTCCCAGTTTTTGCCGAACCCACACCCTGAACGAGTCTGTGTGTGCGTCTGTTTGCTTGCTTGCTTGCTTGCTTGCTTGCTTGCTTGTTTGTTTGTTGGTTTGTTCGTGTAAGACCCCAAAGAATCCTGCTGGGTCCCGAAAATTTGGCAAGGAACAGGCACCGAAGACTTCGAAAGACTAGTTTCCTCCCTGCACCACTGCTGTCTGAGCTTTCCTCCAAATCGGAAGCAACCCAAACACCAGACCGCAAACCACTAACTTGAAATCTTCACCGGGCCCTATAGACTCCAGACTACATCGCAACAACATAGCAGCAGGAACCTCTAGGTGCACGTCACTCTAATCCTGGCCTTTCGGTTTCCTTGGAAAAATGATGCTAGAGCGGTTTTGTGGGACTTGAACTAGGGATGAGGATTTAAGCAAACTAAGGCCTTCAAATCCAAGAAGTGTGCTGCATACCGCTACATTACCTTCAAAAAAGCAGCGTCTGCACTGCCACTACCTTGTGGGTCAACGCCTTCAGGTTCTGAGGTTTCCGGCGCCAGGCTGTCAACCCTAAGCAGTACCTTAAGAACCCAAAAGCGACTTTTTTGTAGGGTCCCTATAAATCCCATATTAGGGTTTATGATAAGGGTTCTTAATAAGCTATGAGCCAATTTATTACCGACATTCAGAGGGCCCAACACTTTGGACAATAGATGGTTGGATCAACCTACAGATGTGGGTAGTTCTCCAACTTAGGGTCCCTTTTTAGGTCCCCAATATAGTACAACACCCTTATAACAAGGACCCCCCCAAAAGGGACCCTAATTTAGAGAACGACCCATATGTTAAGAGGTTGCAGGCGACCGAAGACATGATAATCCTGAATGGTGGCCCGGCCTGGCGTGCTGGTTTAAGCACGCAAACTTCTCTTCATCTTCGCCCTGCAGCCATTCCGGGTTTAGGGTTGAAAAAGGCTGTTGCAAGGGTTCTACATAGGGTTTTCCAGATGTGTTTTTAGTTTCTCTTACAGTTCTACAAGGATACCATAAAGGGTTCTTTGGAGTTTCTTGTGACGGATCTAGTTATCAGGGTTCTGTCAGGGATAGGTGTTTATAAGAACATTCCACGCAGATTAAGGGGGCCATACGGGTTTGACAAAGGCTTACTTGGTAAACCTTAACTACATTCTTACCTCAGAGCTTAGAAGCTAAACCCGTAACCCTAAACCCTGAAACCCGAAACCCCCAACACCCAACCGTGAAATCGCAAACCCTATAAGCCCTTCGAAGGGTTTCGGAATGTAGGCTTTAGCTTTTTACTTATGGCCTCAGGATCCCATTACTGTTATACCACTTAAGATGACGGGATGCCTGCGACTATTCAAGCAGTCTACGGCTGTGATTATTCAAGCAGTCAACATACTACGTACAATACGCTAATAACTGAAGCAAAGGGTGATCACATCAGGAGGCCAGCTACAGCAACAGGCATCGCCAGAACTACTGTCGAGGCAGCGTCGGCCTGCAACGGGGCGGATTCTCCTTAGAGCCTAACCCAAAGGGTCCTAAGTACCTATATGGTAGAATGAGGGTTTCTATATTAGGAACTACTAATATGATTTAGGGAAGTATCCCCCATAACAGTACATAGGACCCTTTGCACAGCCTCATGACATGCCATCTTACAATGACACGCGAATACCCGCACATGCTGCATGCGCAATACCGAACTTCCCGGACTTGGGTGAACTTTGGTAGCAGAAGCCATGTCTTGAGGGACTCGTGCACCCAGAAGCATCTTTGGCTCCTCCACAAGCAGGTTCTTGACATCAACTTGCACAGGAATGGAAGCTGCGAGGTGGCTCCATCTGCCCGTCTTCTTGAGTTGCAAACGGAGTTCCTTCAAGCCTCGCTTTTCGTTCTTTGCCAGCATCTTCTTGTTGTCCATCGCTAGCCTGGCGTCGACGAGTGCTCAGTCTCGCCGCAGCAGCGCGACCGCGGGGTGCTTTGCAAACCTGAACTGGGAGGTGTTTCGAGTCCCACTCTCGCACAAGCAGGCAGGCTTCTCATATGTCAACTGGGAGGTGTTTAGGGTTTAGGGTTATGGGGCTTGAGGTTTAGAGTTTAGAGTAATGGGTTACAACCGGTACAACTTTATAGTTTCAATCGTACGTAGAGCTTGTCTTGTAAGCCAGCTTCTGCTACCAAAATACCGTTTCGCAGGTTGTTGCGAGTTGGGCTCCGAATACAGTCTGTTGCTTCTGTTTTGCCCTAAACCCTGGACAGCCATGAAACCACAGGTGCGCCCCAGAACAGCTGCCTGCTTCTGGCTCGCTTGGGCATTGGTTTTCCTGCAAGGAGGCAGGAAGACTGTTCACTTGGGTTCTTGCTCTGGCAGGCCCCAACGCCAGATGAAGCCCTACAGACTGTCATGAGTTGCACGGACCATTCGAATCTACAACGCCATAACACCCAACTTTGACCCGCGAACTCAGGATTTCCTGCTGCTGGGGAGAGCAGGAGTCATAAGGCTTTGAAACGTTGGCACAGAGACGGCAGGAAGATGTATGAGTTGTATGTACTGTCTCGACATGCTCTTCATGGGCAGAGCCGTAACTAGAACAAGGCCCTTCTCCCTTTACGGGGGTAGTTTAAAAGCCGACTCCTCCTCCCCCCAACTTGAAGCCTAAACCCTGCATCACGCTCCACCCGGAAGGCTGAACCCGAAACTCACCCGGAACCCATAGGACCATAGGATTTTGAAGACTCTTTCTTGGGTTTAGGGATTGTTGCGTGCCAAGGTTTGGGCTTTCGGCTTCTAGCATGCCGGGCCTATAGGGTTCAGGCTTTAGGGAAAGGCTTTCCGGCCATAGAGCTCTGGCCGGGTCGTGAACCCGAAAGTCCTAAACCTGACTAAAGCCCTAGGCCCTGAACTCGAAACAGCGTGGTATCTCCAAGCCTTATGGCTTCGCTGGATCTGTCCGACTTCATGTGGGCTTCCCCTCAGCGAGCATGAGGTTTCGTTTCAGGTGCGGGGCGGCTACGGGCGTGATGGGAATTTCGGATTCGGGGCTTGGGGTTCTGTTATAGGTCTTAGGTGTTTAGAACTTCTGGGTCTTAGAGAGCCTGGGGTTCATTGCGAGTCGCTCTTTCGTCTAGATCCCTGCCCTAGGGTCTGCAGATCATGGGGCCGTTAGACCTGCGCCTAAACTACCTGCATTGAAGTCACATGAATCCTAACTCCTCCAAGCCTTGAATCCCCAACTAAGACCTACAGTGTTGGATCTATATGGCTCACAAAAAACATATCTGGGTACTATGACGGGAGATCTGCTCGTAATTATTTGACGTCTATGTTTAATACATGGTACACGCTGAGGCTCAAATTCTACGACGGCTTAGGGTGGCTGTGCAGCGATGGCAAGATTGGGTGGGCACCAAGACGAGGCGCCAAAAGCCACGTGAACGTAAACTATTGACAGCTAGTTACCTTCGTAGATGAGGTACCATCTGAAAGTTTGTTTCGGCCCTGGGTTAGTTCCTCAACCCGAGACCAGCAAGCCTTGTATGAGATCTAGACTAGGATTCGGGGTTTCTATGTTCCGACCCCTACATTATTCATGTAGTCATGTCCCGTTATAGTCCCTATGTTGCTAGACTGTACTATGATATACCCCCCCTCCAAAACAAGAATCGCCCTAACAGTTCCTAGAGCTCATGCGTTAAGTCCAGGACGAGAGGCGGATCGACTCCTGTTGCGTAGCCTGCTCTCCCTTCAGATCTTTGCAGAACTGGTGCAAGTGCTCGAGCCTCCACGGGCTGCACAAGGTGTATTGTGAGGGTTCCTATGCGGGTTTCTATGAGGGCTTAGTGCCTTGGGGTTCTGGACATTGACCAAGTTAAGAGCATGTATAGAAGCCTGCTAGTTCTGATTCGAATCGGCGTAACCTCAGCTTTCTGAAGAACCATGCGAATATATCAGTTGAAGGGTTTATGTCTGAGATTGTCTGAGCTTGCGGTTTGTAGTAGCGGCCTACTCCGACATCCGCCCCCCCGCTGCTATAGCCCTAGACGATATATCAAGCCAGACGGCGTTTAGTTTAGCTCTCAGCCTCGAGATCGCCAGCCATGACTCCTGCGGGTTAACCCGTTAAACCGACCTGCATACTTTGTAGTAACGGTCTTCATCTTCGCGTCTCATGCGAAACAGAATGCCACCTGGGTCTGCTAATTTCAACCTCCATAAGAGTCTATCGCCATGGTTACCACTAAAGTCCTACCCCAACCCGAAAGTTACAAAGCCCTCAGCCATGAACCCTTAATCCAAAAACCACCTAAGCCCAAAAACCCTAAGCCTACTCGAAACCCGCAAACCCTAGAGCTCTAACCCCCTAAACCCTGAATAGAGTTGTAATGCCCTGAACCCCACAGCAAGTTTCACAAATCTAATGATAGGGCCTTTTGTCGACAACGAGCTGCTTTTGCTCAGCATGGTCCAAACCTCTGCATGACTTGCCAAAGCTGGTGTTCAGGTTGTGTAGGATATTCATAAAGTTGTGGGTTTGTCATTTGAGGGTCAGAGATTTTCTCAAAGGTTTGAACATTTCTTCTTTTATCTTGCAGGAGGAATACAAGGCAATCAGTTCAGGGAAGTAAAGGAGTCGGAGTCTAGGGGTTAGCTTAGTTTAGGGGTCTTGAGTGCCCCGCTCAACCTCGGCTTCAGCAGCCTTCACGCAGCATGGCCACATCAACCCTGTTTGGAGCACGGACAATAGGTGCGTGCCAGCATGCCTACACCCTGTACTCAAAAAATCCCTCAAACGGCCTCACTTGAGCTCTCGGGTCTGCTCTGCCCCAGCCTTACCCGGCTGAGAAGCCGTCGATCGCCGAGATCTTTAGGCAATGCAGTGTACTTCAGGCTGCCCGCGTTGCATCCTTTTCAATGAAGAATAAATCGGCCGTGAAACCGTCCGGAATCTCATTGGGCAAGCTGACGTGCAAGGCGTATGCACGGCGGTCCACGCGTCGGCTGATGGCGAGACAACTGACACGCACATCGCGCCTAGGCAATAACGTGCAATATCCAAAGCCTGGCTTGAAACTGCGCATTGCTAGTTCGGTGCGCTTATATATGCGCATGCAAAAACAACAAGGTTTTGATGGGGCTTAGGGCTTTACAAGTTTTGGGTAAAAAGCTTGGAATGCATATGAGCGTCGGCATCAATTCGCTCGGCTGGTTTAGGGATAACGGCGTGGATGGGGGGGGGGTCTACGGGGTTCTATATGGGTTGTAGTAAGGGGTTCTACGGGTTTCTTTGAAGATTAAAGATTTGCTCGTGGCTCCAAGGCCTGCCAGCTTATGAAGGCTATATCCCATAGTAAGAGGCTCAGAACCTACCGTTTCATGAGTTTTAGGGGCACAGGAAAGTCCAAGTGGCTATTGTTCTGAAGACCACGGAGTCTAGAGTCTAGAGTCTAGCCTTTTTCATCCGCAAAACACTCATCCCTCTAAACCAAGTAAGAGGGAGAGGTCTGAACAACTACGAAAAATCACCTTTATGGTTGGCAGAATAAGCGTTGAGGCCCTCTATACCCAGTTAAAAACCCTAAACCCTAAACGGAGACGAGACACCGTTGTTGAGGCGGTCCAGCTGTGCGATGATACCGTCCTGATGGAGAGCTGCGCTGTCGTCTGGGCATAGTATATTCTAGTATACTTTGGTACACTATGGTATACTTTAGACTATAATCGTATGTTGTAGCATCATCTGGCTCGGCGGGTTGCTGGGTTCAGGGTTTGCATGGGCTTTGCATGGCTGACCAGGGCTGTCCAAGGCTGTTGCTGGGGTCTGCAGTTGTTGGGCGCCTGGTAGTTTTGGCTTCCGGGTTTAGGGTGCTAATTACGGTGAACAAGAACCTGCATAAGTTTATGCGAGGCCATC